GCAGCACGGGGATGTCTGAGTGTTGGCAAGAGGCTGCTCTCCGCTAGCCTCATGCTTGGAAACAGCTGGAGCTGCTCTGCTGAAGCCTGAAAAAATTCACAGCACGAGGCGGATCCCCTGGAATGGGATTTTTTCCACCTGAATGGTTTAGATTTGGCAAAATCGTAATCAGATGACTATAAGGATGTAGGGTGGAAAACACTAAGCCATAGTCAGCACTGCCTATGGTAGTTCATGCATTGCCCACCTCTTTTTAGACTGAGGTTTGCCCCATTCTGCTACATCTAGTGAGTATTTTGAAAACTGACCTTAATGGCTGTTATGTTTGTGACTCATTTAGCAAAGCGGACCTTTGTGGTGAGGAGAAGGAGGTAGTGCGAGGCGAATATCTGTCAGATGAGCTAGGGGCAGCGGCGGCTGGCATCACGCGCAGCGTGCGGTGCCGCCGGCTGGCGCGGCCCGGCCTCTAAGGCGCTAGGAAAATCAGCGAGGTGAGCTGCCTCCTATTTCCTTCTTGGAAAGTGTTCAAGGCTGCAGCCTCACCTCTCTTGGAAGAGCCTTGAAATATTTTCAATACCGGGAAGGGACGGGACGGCTGCGGCTGGATCCTCCTGTGCTGCGCTGGAAGGCGACGCTCACTTGTGTCCTGTTCCCACTGCTAGAAGATGGGCAATGTTGCATCACTTGCTCGTGCTGTAAGGCCAAGTGCAGCTGTTTCTGCTAGAAAGGACCTGCCTTTGCCGTAACCCTCCTGAAGCCTGTGGTGCCAATGAGGGAGCTGCTGAGCATCCCTCGGTCCCAGAAATTGGAGTTTCTGGGAGCAGCAGCCAGGCAGGTGCCTGTCAAAAATACATGTGGTGGTGGCTGCAAAGCCTGCGGGAGATGAGAGCGCTCTACCTGGAGACCCACTGAGCTCTGAATCGCTGAGTATTCCCTTTTTGCCCCAAATTCCCTTTTTGACCCCTGCGGTAGAACCCCCTCTCATCACCCCTGTCCGGGGTGCTTAATGCAGGTGCCTGGGGCCGAGGAGGCAGATCCCACCCGCGGAAGCGCGGCAAAATCCCAATTCTCGGCTTTTTTGTTATGGTTTTTGTTTGTTTGTTCTTTTGTTTTCAGCGTTGCTCTTAGCCGACCCCGCTGCTCGCCCGCGGCAGAGCCCGCCACCGCCTGCAGCAAGTGCGGCCCCTCTCTCTCTATATAGACATTATATATATATATATAAGGCCGGGGCTCGCCCGGGCAGCGGAGGGAGGACAGGGGCCCGGGGCTATTAAAGCCGGTAATGAGATCTGCAGCCCGTCCCTCCTGGCCCTGCCCGGGCGGGGTGCGCGGGCCACCCCTCCAGAAACCCCGCTCAGCGAGAAACCTCGGTGGCCTTTAAGTGCATTCCGGGAAAATTAATGCGTAGGGGGGTTTGGTCAGGAATCGAGTGTATATGTATGTACGTATATATGTATGTATCTCTTTCGAGCGTTTTTATTTTTTTTCTTCTTTTTTTCTTTCCCCCAAGGTAAAGCAGAGCGTTTCGCAGAGCGAACCTACAGGAGAAATAAGAGAGATATAAAAGCGCTGCCCCGATCTTGCAGTATCTGTAACACGTTGCCTTAAATGCGCACTGTTCCCTAAAACCTGCCCCAAACTGCGCTCTTCGCTGTAATATCGGTAATAGAGTGTTTTATCTGAAGCTGCGCTATCTCCCTCACGACAGAAACTACAAACAGAATGCGTGTTCCAAGAAAGAAAAAGGAGAGAGAGAAAAGGGTCTTATTTAATCCAGAAAATAATTAAAATCTCGTGTATTTTTATTGGTTTTAGTATCCAGCAGAGTGAAAATATTGAAACTCCGAGACCCCTTGCATTAAAAAGTCACAACTGTTCTATTTTATTAGTTCTGACTGTGTGAAAAAAATTATAAGGACAACATTGAAAAAATCCGGGTTTTAGAGCCCCGAATGGCCATAAAAACAATAAAATCAACTATAAAACCTGCACTAGTGATATTAAAAAATTATGTAGTTCAATAAATGTGACATTTCATGAATGCGGATTTAATAGTCTCTAACCCGGGGAAGGCGGAGGGCTGAGGGCGAACAATTGAATTTGGAAGGGGCGGTGCTGGAGAGCTGCAAAATTAAGTGCTTCATTTTTCTTGTTAGGGATTATGCAGTGGTAGTGGAATGTAATAACTGTGCCATTAAAACTTCCTTTTAACAAGGCCTATCGCTTGTATAAAAGTCAGAAAAGAATAATCTCTTCCTCTATTTATTTGTTTTCCAATAATACAGCAAAACATTTTTTCCTTTTTTTCCTTTTGCTGAAACTTGTTCTCAGGATTTTGAATCGACAGCTTGTTAAATATGGTGGGGGCCCTCCGTGCTGCTGCCTCATATCATGCACGTCGTTATTCCAGAGGGCAATGGGTCATCGGTTTACTGTACATTTATTAAGTAAATCAAGCTGCAAATCCAACACTTCCAGATGAAAACATTAGCTAACCCCCTTGGAAGGAGCAATGCCTGGGAGACCGAGCACAGAGAGCAAAAATAATCAAAACTGTCAGCTCGCTTTACGTGTACCTGATATTTACAAGACACAAGACCGCGCTTTAAAGGTGAGTTTTGGCATTTCTTAACAATGTGGGTTTTTTTTTTTTGTAAAAACAGCTTCCCCATATTATTAAAAATATATGTGTATTTCGATTTCACCAACACCCTTTCGTCTTGCTCTGAGCCTCTTAGTTATTAAGATCATCGCAGAGTTGAACCGGAGACCTTTTCCTCTCTCTTTTTTTTTTTTTCCTTATTTTTATTTTTTTCACACAGCACCTGCTGTTCCTTAAC